GTCTGCTTCTCCCTCTCCCGCTCCCCCCTCTCATGCTCTCTCTCTCTCAAATAAATAAATAAAATCTTTAAAAAAAAATGCCAATTCAAAGGAAAGAGAGAGAGAGAGAGAAACCAAGAAACAGACTCTTAACCATAGAGAGCAAACTAATGGTGTACCAGAGGAGAGTGGATGGGGGATGGGTGAAATATGTGAAGGGGATTAAGAGTACACTTATGAGCACTGAATAATGTACAGGATTGTTGAATCCCTCTGTTGTACACCTGAAACTAACACAACACTGTCTGCTAATTAAAATCAAATCCTTCATAAAAAATGCCAATTCTAGGCCTCACCCAAGACCTTCTGAATAATACACTTTGGAAGTGACACCCAGGAGCAGGTCTCTTTAAAATCACACTCCCCATGGTTAGCACTTAGCACAGTGCACACAGTGGGTGTGTCACCAATACTAACTGAATGAATGATGTTACTGTCTTCCATCAGTGTACATGTAGTATGTTTTCCTTCTCTCCTGTTTGCCAGTTTTATGAGGCAGAATAATGATTCTATAATGTAGTTTCTTATATTAAGTTGTTGGCATTCCACTTTTTTTCACTTCATATTTCTTCTTTAGCGGAAGTTCATATAAGACACTCTTCTTGGGCTGCACAAAAATAATCATCTTTGTCAACTCTTCCAATGAGCTAACAGTCCATGATAAATTTAACTCACTGTACTATTTTAAACACTAAATTGTACTTTATGTTCATATCTTGTGAGTGTCAATAGATCACTGGTTTAAAAGAGTGTAATAAATGAGTTCTTAATTGGAAAAAAAAAAAACACTCCCTAGATGATGTTGCACAAGCATGAATTTTAGAACCTCTGCTCTCTGGTGCCAGGTGACCAAGAGAGAACCTTCGGCCATCACAGCTTTCCTTGCAGGCAACTCTGGAGCAAGAGACACAGAAGGGAAGCACTCCCCCACCCCGCCCCATAAACACACACACACACCAAGAGTAGCTCACCCAGCCAATATACAGTGGGACCTGGAGAAAGTCCACAAATCTTTAGAGAAAGAATTTCCCTAATGCAAACAGGGGGAACCCATAAAGAGTAGGCCAGGCAGGGGGCGATGGTGAATGGGACACAGTGTCATTTTCCTTTTGCCAATGCTCCTGAGCTGGTCCAGGGCATGGATTCTTGATGCCAGGGGTGCTGGAGTGAGTCTGCAGGAAGAAACTGACTTCCTGTAGAGCTCAGTGAAGAGCTCAGGCTTTAGAGTGGGACACACAGGTATTTAGATAACCAGCCCTTCACCGGACGCCATGAAGTTTCAGGTAAACCAATACAATCCCCATCCCTCAGTTTCAACTGTAGTTAGAACTAATGACCCTGCTTCGTAGGGTGTTGGTGCCAATCAGTTTAGGTAACATATACAGTGCCTGGCACATGGCAGAGTCCTTCTAGCAACAGCTGCTACCATGTGAATGACGGCCATCATGGACAGGGTGCTTATGGGCCGAAGGCTAAGTGCTTTTATAACCATTAAATAATATACTCCCCAAGCCAACTCCAGAAGGCAGGTGATAGTATTTTCATTATTTTATAGATGAAAATCTACAGCTCAGAGAGTTTAGTAACCCATCCAAGGTTACACAGCTAGTAAGAGATAGAGCTGGAGTTAAAACCTAAGCTGTCTAAGTCTGAAGGTTATAGCCACCAGGCTGTAGTAATAATAGTAGTACTATTAGTAACTCATGTTAGTGACCTCTTTCTCTCTATATATCAGGCACTTTTCTAAGCAAGCCCTTGATATTTAATACTCATTTAATCCCTATAACAGCCCAAAGACACAGAGAGGCTAGATAATTTTCCTAAGGTCGCTTGGCTCTCAAGTGGCAGAGCTGGGATTTAAACCCAGGCAGTCTGATGCCAGAGTGTGTGCTTTCAGTTGTCATGCTAACTGCTTCTTGTATCCTTACTGTTATTTTCAAAACTCCAGAAAGTGGCCAGGAATAGGGTGCTATTCCATGACTAGATTTTGTGAGGCCACTACCCATCCCATGGTGGCCTGTGGCCTTTAGCCCTGCTGAAACTCCCCTCTTACTACCCCACAGGGCCTCCCTGGGATCTCCATCCCTACAGTCAGTCTGGCTGAGCCCTACAGTGCTGATTGTCTTGGGGAAGCCCATTCCTCACCATTGCAGGAGCAGCTCCTCTCCAGGCGGTGCCGTGGGGTCAGGATGCTGAGCCTGGCTGTGCTGTACGTGGGCCCCACCCTGGGGTCCAGGTGCACTGTCTCTTGGCACATTTGACCCTGGCAGCTTGGGCCCTGGCAGGGCACCACGGGCATGGCTGACCTCATCTGAATTCCCACTGAGTGCTCCATCTCTTTGGCTGAGCGAGTGATGACAGATGCCAGCTCCTGGAGCTTGTAGAAAGTTCCAGAATGCCCCTCAAAGACCAGGAGCACGTCCACCCCAGCTGTGGCCTCTGCAGGCTGAAGGCTGGCCAGGTGGATGTTAGCTCGTTTGATGTCCAGTTTGTTGCTGAGGAACCTCTGTAGGTTCCTCCAGTGGTCGCTCACCAGCTCCTCTGGGGTGAGCTGGTGGAAGCCCATCCACATGGCCTGCTGCAGAGCCTCTCGCCCCACTTGCCACACATGGACGTGGACCCCAGCAGTGGCGGCGAAGGTCCCGTCACTGACTGTGACGTTGAATGCATAGCGGCCACGAGGCAGGCCCTGGGCGGCGATAATCTTGCCATCGGGGGCGCCCACTGAGAAGTGCCTGGCCAGGGTGTCCTCTCCTGCCAGGCTATAGGTCAGCATGTCCTGTGGGTCTCGGTCTGTGGCATGGATTTTGCCCACCATGCCACCCTGGAACTCCTCCTCCCCGATGGTGATGAAGATCTCCAGTGGGAGGGCGGAGGGTGGGTAGTGGCTCTGCTCCGTGACATGGACTCTGACAGATGTCGAAGACGAGAGGGGAGGGATGCCACTGTCTGACACCTGTGGGCAAAACAAGCACTGCTATTACCCCAGGACTGCAGCTGTCTGTGGCCCGAACAAGTCTGGGCCTCCTGGGGCAACCACGTCTCTCTGCTTGAGGCTAGGCTCAGCATGTCGTCACAATCGAAAAAGAGGACAATAACTCCAAAGCACCGAAAGTCTTGTGGAGGGAGTTATATCCCATACCTCCCAGTAAAACTTAACTCCGTTTCCTCATCTGACAGCTCTCTGAGCCTCTTCCTAAGTCTCTCCAGCCACTCGCACTCATGCCTCCTTCCTCTCCAACGTCCCTCATTCTGTCTCTTTCCTTAAGTGAGTCATCAAATGTCTCTTCATGATTCCAGTGTGCATCCTTCGTGGCCCCTGTCAGCCGAAGGAGGTTCTCTTTGGGATCCCCCTTTACTATGTGATTGGGGTCAGGGTGGGCATTGCATCCTCAGGTCAGCCAACAAGTACTTACTGAGTGCTTTCTACAGGCCAGGCCCTCTGCTGTGATCGGGAGAAAAGAGACCGTCAATACGTTACCAAATAAACAAGAGAATGTCAGACATGGATAAAGTGCTGTGAAGGAGATAAATGGAGCATGGGACAGAAATCTGAAGAGTGAAAGGGTCCTAACTCAAATCAGGTGGGAGGGAAGTCGTGACACTTGAGGAAGAGGTGACCCTTGAACTGAGTCCTAAGGGATGAGAAGAGGTAAGGAGAGGAGGTGACAAAGGGAACAGCAAGTGACCAGCCCCAGAGTAGAAAGAATGTGATGAGCTCAACGGGGTGGAAGGGCCACAGCTGCTCGAGCGAGTGGGCAGGGCTGAGGACCAGAAGGGGGCGCAAGGGAGGCCACCCTGTCACTGATGGGCTGAGGAGCCCAAGGTTGGGTTTTATGTCAGAGCCGTGAAAAGCCACTGAAGGTTTTAACAAGGCCATGCTATGACCTCAGTTAAGCAAGGAAAAGAATGTAAATAAAAAATGCCTTTTCCTTTCATATTTTGCCAAGCGTCCCTGCAACTTTCTGTCCAGATTAGCAAGGATGAAGTTTCCTTCAGTGACTTGTTCACTTTCCCGGCTGTCACCAGGGGCCTCCACAACTTTCCCTACAGTAGTATCTTGTTCACGTGTGTTCCAGTGCTTTGAGTGGGCGAACAAGTTGTGAAATTATACCTAGTGCTGGGATTTGTGCATAACACAGGTGGGATATCAATAGCAACAGCAATAATTAATACTACTGCTAAGTATAACATACAGCTGGCATCAACTGAGTGCAGACTGTATGCTGGTCACTTCTAATGCTTCTGATGCATGATATGAGATATCCTGTCAACCCTAACTGTAACCCTAACCTTTCTTAGGAGATAGACACCACAAAGTCTCCCATTTTACAAAAGCTATCACTTAGGCTCAAAGAGGTCAAGTAACTCGCCCAAGATCATACGGGAGGTAAGGCCAGAGCAGAAACTGTCCTCCTACCTGTGTCCATGGCCCCTTTCTTTGCTGGCCTTTAGTGCCTCCCAGTGAACAAAAGGGGAAATACAGGACACATGCAAGAGATGATAGTTACTGAGCCATTGTCTGGGTCAGGAGACAGAGTTCATCGTTTCCTAGGCAATCGTGTCCATGCCCTTCTCTCTGAGAACCCTCTATGTTAGCCCACACCTGTCCTCTGAGCTGCAGACTTCCATTCCCAACTACCTACTGGACACCTTCATGTCGATGTCTCATGGGCACCTAAAAGGTGACATGTGCAAAACGGAGCGCTCATTTTACCCCCATAAACCTGTCCTTCCCCCATCTCACCATCTTTCTAGCCTCAGCAATGGCCACACCAGCCACTTCACTAGAGTCTGGAACCTGGGAATCACCCCTGATTCTTCTCTCTCTCCCCATATCCAGTCTATCACCAACTCCTGTTTATTTCCATACAGAGTTTGTCCCTAGTCTATCCACTTCTTGCATCTTTGTTATCTGCTCAAGGTTTCCACACCACTCTCTCCCACTGGGATTGGAAGTAATACTAACAGTATTACCAAGGCTTATAATTAGGATGGCTGTACTTCCTGGTTTGCCCAGATCAGTCTTGATTTTCACTAATTGATCCTGTTGTGGCTCAGTGGTCACCAATTAACTATTTTTAGTGCTTCTCTCCCTCTCAAGTGCATCAGTTTGGACCTCAGGTAGTATGGTCACCCAAGCTATGAGGCCTCCATGATCCACCCAACCCATCTCTTCAGCTTTATTCCCATTAGGATCACTATGCTGACCACATTGTCCCCATCTCAGGCCACTTCAAGCTCTTTCCCAAGTCAAGAATTGGCTTATCTTGTTCCTGCCTGTGACACTCTCCTGCCCAGTTTTCACACAGCTGGCTCCTCTCAGGTCCCAGCTCAAATGTCCCTTCCTCACGAGGGGAGCCACCCTCCGAATATGTCTCCTCTGTGCCTTTCATAAGGCACTTTCTTTCTTCATTTGTTTATGGTGTATCTCCATGACTAGAATCAAAAGCCCACAGAGACAGGGATCATCCCCTTCTTTCCCCCTGCTGTATTACTAGCAGTGAGAATAGGGCATGACACAGGATGGCTGCTCAATATTTGTTGAAAGACAGCAAATCACTGACTGGCTGGCTGGATGAATGGATGGATATATCATCCTGAGCTCAGAAGAAGTTTACAGAATAAGAGGGTCCACTAGGACTTGAGATTTAGGAAAGGGATTTTGAGGGAATGAAATGAAGAAGAAATGTTTAACTACCATCTTGACCACTTCCCTTCGGCTATTCTTACTCTACCCTTTGCAATACCACCATGACCCCCTAAACATGTATATCTTCTCCAGTTTGGACTCCACACCAGTTCCTATGAGGTTCAGAGAGCTGTCCTGGCCAAACTCAAGCAGTTAGAGCCAGGGTGAGGGTGTTTGTTGTTCTGCCCGGACACTATGCAGGAATTCAGAGGTTAGGCTCCAGGGTCAGAGTATTTGGTCTGAGGCAACCCACCTCTGCCACTTATTGGTAGTATTACTTTAACCCAGTCACTCAACCTCCCTGTGCTTCAGTTACCACCTCTGTAAAGTGGGGGTGCGAACTGCACCCACCCTAAAGCCTGTTGTGAGGGTTTAATGCAATAATGTATGTGAAGCACTTAACCCAGTGCCCAGCACCTAGTAAGAGCTCTGTACATTTTCTCCTAATAATAGAAACACTGATAGTGCTTTTGCCAGCACATTACTGTCCCCATGGTCACCACCAGTGGACCAACACAGCTCTCACCTTGATCTGAAGCTGATACCATTCCTGAACTCTTCTGCTCAGGCCCACAGCGGTCACTAGCCATCCATCAGGGGTCACTTGGAAGGCAGAGCCGTCATTCCCCTTGGTGATTCGGAATGAGTAGGGTGGACCATTCTCTGGGGAGTCCAGGTCACTCAGGATCAGCTGCAGGACTTTGCTACCAATGGGTGAGTTTTCCTGAGATAGACAGTACCAGGAAAGAGCAAAATGAGTTCCAGTCCTTCCTTTTGCATCTTTCTGGATCCCCTCATCTGGGATGAGTCCTCAGAACTCTGGCTGCTCTCAGGTCATGTCTGGACTTCGAGCTATCATTCATTTATTCTGTGAGCCTGTGAATTAGTTGTTGGCTTCGCCAGTCTAGACCAGGAGCTTCCTGAGGGCAGAGCTAAATCTTAGAAACAAAGCCCATTAAGGCAGGAAGGGTCCTTAGAGTCCCTTTATCCTATAGAAGGTGACTTGACCAAGGTCACATAGCTGATATAATTCATGTACATAACTTAGTTAGTGCTTGGGATCCATGTGGAAGTTTTGTGATTCATAGGGTCAACTGAACACCTATAAATGGTTTCCTGCTTAGAAGGATGGAACACCCATCCTTGGATGGAACACCCAACTCAATGAGAAAATTTAAAAATGAGTAAGCATGCAACTAAGAAAAATTGATTCCCTGGGTATAATTCCAGTCTCTGTTCTATAACATAGGGATTCAGTATCTGTATCTTTTTTGCAACAAAATCCTGTCTACAAACAGAATCTTATGGACAGAAATTAATGGTTGCCTATCCAACAGGCATTCCTTCCTTCCTTTCTTACAAAACCTGACTTTTGTGGGGTGGCAATATCCTCACAAAAGATATGCCCTTATTAAGAGGAGATGGACTGGGACACCTGGGAGGTTCAAGTTGGTTAAGTGTCCAACTCTTGATTTCAGCTCAGGTCATGATCTCAGGGTTGTGAGATTGAGCCCTGCGTCAGGCTCTGCTCACTGGGCATGGAGCCTGCTTAAGATTCTCTCTTCCTCTGCCCCTCCCCACTCATGCTCTCTCCCTCTCCTTCTCAAAAAATAAAAAAAAAAAAGGAGAGAGATGGACTGTGATTGGTCTAAGTCAGTTATAAAATCTGATTCCCTGTGCCAGTTTTTGGCGTAATGGTGATCATGTAATCTGATTCTGATCACTGGAGAAGTCAACCAGGTGAGGGTTCTGAGAAACTTTCTTTGATAAAAACAGAGCCTGGGGTGGGGGGAAATCCTTTTCTGTTTGTCTTTGAAGATGGTTAGACAAGGATGTGATGCTAGAGCTGCAGCAGCCATTTTGTAACCATGACAAAGAAGGTGAGGGAATTTCAAAGAAGCTAGCCCAAAGCTGTGATACTGTTTTTCTGCTGAAATAACCAGTTCTGGAATAGAACTTCCCACCATCACACCTTTTGTTATATGAAAAAATAAGCCCTTATTATTTAATGACATTTTAGTCAGATAATCTGTTATTGGCAGTCAAAACATCCTAACTAATAATATACAAACAAATAAAAGTGGAGAGACTCTGTCTGATACATAGCAGGACCCAGGATTCTGCCTTCCTATCCTCTTCCTTACCTCCCTCACCTCTTATGGTCATAATTCCCATTGAATCCCTAGGCCCTCTCCAGATCCCATTTGTAAACCACTGGTATGGTGGAAATAGTTTGGGGATCTGGAAAATCATCTGGTTTTAAATCCCAAATTTGCCACATTCTAGCTAGGGTACATTTCTGCACCTACATTTAAAAAATCTGTAAAGTGGGCGGAGTAGGCCTCCTTATCCACAGGGATATGTTCTAAGACCCCTAGTGGATGCCTGAAAGCATGGATGCTATACATACATCTCTATGATAAACTTTAATTTATCAATTAGGCACAGTAAGAGATTAACAGTAATAACTAATGCCAAAATAGAAAATCATAACAATATACTATAATAAAAGTTATGTGAGTGTGGTCTCCCTCTCTAAAAATATCTGTACTCCCCCATTCTTCTTGTGATGATGTGAGGATAGTAAGATGCCCATGTGATGAGATGAAGTGAGATGAACGACATAGGCACACAGAATGTGTGATGTACATTAGGCTACTATGGACCTTCTGATGATACGTCAGAGAGGGATCATCAGCTTCTGGACTGTGGTTGACTAGGGGTCAGCCTGACTGAAACCACAGAAAGCAAAACCATGGATAAGGGGGGACTACTGTACTACCTGCTTCATGCAGCTATGTGAGTCCCAAATGAGGTACTGGATGTGGAAATGCCTAGCACAGTGCCTGAGTATTTTTAATTCCATCATTCATAGTCCCCTTTAGCAGGCTGTGTTGCCATTAGGGATATCAGTGGCAAGGTCACAGCCACTGTTTTGGTAGACTGATACCAGTGATGAGCACCCTCCACTAGGAGGGAAACGAAGGGAGGAAGGCTTCAGGATGTCTTTGGAAGCTCAAGTGTACCTGGACAGAGGTGCTGTAGTTGAGCTGGAAGAATCTCGGTGGGTTATCATTGACATCAACCACTTGGATAGCAATGTCTGTGTCCTCATGCAGCGGGGGCCGCCCGCTGTCTGTGGCTCGGAGCCTCAGGGAATAGCTAGAAGTCTGTAGCAAGATGCCAGTGGAGAGTTAGCAACAAGACCCCTCAGTTCTGCCCCATGACTCATCACTAATGTTTTCAGAAAAATAAGATGGAGACACTCCCTATGCCCACCTCCACTACCCACCCATGCTATTTTAGGGTCCAGGTTTTGGAGTCAGGAAGAAATAGGTTTGATTTCCAATTCTACCACTTACCAGCTGTGCGAACTTGGGAAGGTGACTAAACATCCGTGAGGATATCAGGACCCACCCCCTAGGATTATTTTAAGGACCAAATGGCACAATGTAATAAAGCACTTAGCAAAGTTCCTGGCACAGAGCAGGTGCTCAATAAATGATAATTTATTATAATGATCTAATGATTCCTGGTCAATAGTAAGAAGCTAGCCTGACCTCCTCCAGTGAAGGTTAAGGGTCACTTAGTCCCTCTCCTGCCTCTGGCCTCACAGGTCATAGAGACCACACAGAGAAAACAAGTGTGGGATGCTGAGGACAAGTCTGGAGAAGTCAGCATGGGGTGTTGACCACAGTTCATCCTCTGGACCTGCATCGGGGCCATATCTCTGCTCTGATAAGCTCAGATTGGGCCCCTCCCACATGACTCACCTGTTCCCAATCCAGGGCCTTGGCCACTTGTAGCTCCCCCTTCTTGGGGTGGACAGCGAAGTGCCCGAGCTGGTTCCCTCCTACCAGGCTGTAGGTGATGGCACTATTTGCAGGTCCATCTTCATCAGTCGCTGACACCTGCAGCAATGGGAGGGTAGTTGTGAATGGAGGGCAAGAGGGACCAGAAAGGAACATTGGCCCCTGGGAGTGTAAGGGGAGAGATATGTCCCCATTCCAATGACTGCCATTGGGCTGGCAGTCCCTGGACCACAGTCATCCCTATGAAAGGAATCTCTTCATTTTATATCCTAGTATAGATTTCAGCATGCCATGATTCATTCATTTACTCATTCACTCACACTGACAGGGTACTAGGTCGTGAGCCAGGAGGTGAGGGATGTGCCAAAGTGAAGATGCCCACAGGAAGTTTAATGTCTAATTTTATGGGTAATTCTAATTTGGGGCAAAGTATGATCAGCTTTATGAGAGCACAGAGAATACAGTGATAAATTCTACCTGGGGAGATTAGCAAAGCATCCCTGAGTCTCAGAAGGATAAGGAGGGCTTCTGGGAATAGAGCCAGCATTCCAAGCAGGAGCCCAGAATGTGGGAATGTGCAGAGACTGTTTAGGGAAAGGCACATCTTCCTGTGTGGTTGGAGCATAGGATGCATGTCTGGGAGTGGAAGCAGATTAAGACCAGAAGGCAGAATAAAGAGGGATCATAGAGAACCTTGAATATGGGCATACAGAGTTTGGTTTCACTCTATGTAGCAGGGAGCAATTGCGTGTTTAAATGCAAAGAGGTGTTATTTGGTGCCCCTCCTCCTATACACACACTAATATTCCAGGCCGTTCCCAAACCTTGGAGCCTCTGGCGGTCCTCTGGGGTCTCTCCTATGTCCCGTTCTATCAGTACCTGATCTAGACCTTATCAAACATAGCCCTGAGACCCTCTGTCATGAGAAACAGTTTGGCCAAGTGGCTGCAAGTCAGAGTTAAGTCTATAGTGTATAAATTGATAAACTAACCCATGCTCGTAGACATCTGACAGAGTGGGGGATAAAAGCCCACCCAAGTCCATGCCCCCTGAAGGGCAAAGTTGCAGGTCCTTACTGTGAGCACGACGTCACCCACAATGGCATTCTCTAAGACCCTTGTGCTGTACAGATCCTGGGGGAATCTGGGTCGGTGTTCATTGACATCAGTGATGTTGACCACGATGGTGATCATGTCACTGAGGGAGGAAGAGCCTTTCCGGCTGCATTCTATGGATAGGAAGAACTTGGGGCTTGTCTCAAAGTCCAGGCTCTTGTTGACATACAGGATCCCTGAGGAAACAAGAGATGATGAGAACAATGAAGCATTTGGGACTGCAAAGGCAGAGAGCTGAGGGGTCTTGAGCCAGACCCCAGGAGAGGCAGCTCAACAGGGTTGGGAGAGACAGATCTCCTCCATCATCTCCTCTGTCTCCTCCATAATCTCTTCCATTTTCTCCTCCACCATCTCTACCATGTCCTCCATCTCCTCCTTCATCTCGTCCATCATCTCCTCCTTCCTCTCATCCATCATCTACTCTGTCATCTCCTCCACCATCTCCTTCCTCTCTGTCATCTCCTTCATCTCCATCATCTCCTCCTTCGTCTCTTACATCACCCTCTTTGTTTTCTATTTCGCCATTACCTTCCCCTCCCCTCCCCCTCCATCTCCTCTCATTTTTCTTGTTGTTATTCTCAACAGCAATGTTTCCCTCACTTATTTCTATAATATTTCATTGAAATCTCACTTAAGTCTGTAATATTAAATCTTTCTCATGTAGATCAATAATTCTGTAGAGTAGGAACAACTGTGGTTCCCATTTTCTAGGTGAGTCAACTGATACTCTCAACAGGTAAATGACCTGCCCAAGTTCATCCAGCTAGTAAATGAGAAAACTTAGATTATAAAGAGTTTTATAATACCCCAAATTGTTCAATGAACTACTAGGGCATAGATTTATTTTTCTGAAAATTGGAAAAGAATAAGGACTTATCATGCTGTTCCTGGATAACCAAATATTTAATGGTAGAAAACTCTTCTTTATGAAAGAATTCCAGTTAGTAAATGAATGAGGAATGATAAAATCAGAAGATCACCATTTTGCTGCCCCTAATGAAATAATGTATCTAGGAAATAATCATCTAAGGTTGCTAAAAGCATTAGAAGGACAGCTGACGAAGGACTCTATAATGGATGGGTCAGGCTGACAACACGCAAGCCCATTGTCAATCTTAACCTCAGAAAAAACCTATCAGTTTTATGCCTCCCGACATAGTGACAAGGACAGCCCAGCATCATCTATGAAGCACTGTTGCCACAAAATTAAGCTTGAACCTGATCAAGATCGTTAATCCAAATGTCATTTATAAGAAATATAGGGGCTAAAGAGATATATGACATCAAAAAGATACAGCCAGTATTCAATCCAAAATAGAAAAAGTTCTGCCTGACACATGACCCAAGTTTCATTAGTTAGATGGTGGGGGAAATAGAGAGGGGGAAGAAAATGTTAGAGATTTAAAGAGACTTAAAATACTGCCTATCAATCAAATGCAATTATGTGTGAATGGGGGTGGTGGTGAAGGGCAAATGTGAAATCAGACGGGCACACGTTGACAATTCCTGAAGCTGGGTGATGGGAACGTGGGGTTCATTACACTGTTCTCTCTATTTTTTAGGTTTAAAGTCTCCATAGTACAACCATTTAAAAGTACTGCTTAATGATAAGACAGCTGCTCTGGGAGGTAGACAGTACCATTGCAGGGGTGCTGTGGGGAGGAATCTGACCTGGGCAGCCTCTGAGGCCCTTCCACGGGGTTCTGTGAGTCTGACTTAGACTCTTCTGTGGCTAGGAGGAAAGAAAGACTGTTTCCTAGTTCTCTTCATGAGAATAAGGGGAAAGTCAGGGGTGCTGGGATATTTGGGAAGGGCTGTAGGAGGGAAGCAGGTAGCCCTGCCCTGGGAAGCTTATGCCCCAGATTCCAGCAAGTGCTTTGTCAGCCAAGGACAGAGAGTGGCCTCAGCCTCCAGGGGTTGGGCCTGAGCTGGGACATCTACAACAGCTACAAACTGTGGAAGGAGAGTGGGTTGCCAAGCATCCTGGGTGGGGATGTGGAGGAATAAAGGGGGTCCCCACAGGAGCCGACCCCAGGGTGGAAGAGGGACTTGGGACCTGGAGAGATGCAGAGTGGAGAAAAACCAAAGGAGTTGTGTCCTGGGAAGGTCTGCATGGGGCACCCCCCCCCCATGTGTGAAGAAGTCACTGTTCCCCAAGACCCAGTGTGTGCAGGTGCATGTAGGGGGTGGGGTTGCCTCAGGCACTGGCTCACCTGTGTGGGCATCCAGGCGGAACCTCCCCTGCTCGTTTCCGCTGACCACGCGGTAGCCAGTCTTCTCGGCAGTGGGGCGAGTAAGGGTGGCCAGCCGCAGCACCTCTGTGCCAAGCTGGGCATCCTCGGGCACCTGCACACTATGCTCAGTGTTCAGGAACACAGGCAGATAGTCATCGAGGCCTACCACTGAGACAGTGACTGTGCCCAGAGTGGACAGTGGTATCGGGGTTCCCAGGTCAGAGGCACGGACAGTGAGCTCCAGTGCTTCCTGTGGCCTGACCCGTAGTGGCTTCTCCAGCCGAATCACACCTGTGGTGGCCTCAATGGAGAAATGGCCTTCGGCAGAGTCCGTCAGAGAGTAAACCACCTGGGCATTGGCACCTGTGGGGGAGACCAAGGGTATGGTTCATATTGAGAGACCCTCTTCTGGCCCCATCTAGCCACAGGAGGGCCTGGGATGGAGGGTCCCCATAAAGGCTAACATGCTCAGGCTGCGTTAAGAGTGAGAATCTCTCAGTGGGAGATTCTTCACCAGAGGGTTCAAGGCCTCACAGAAAGGTTCCTGGGGGTAGGGCATCTGCAAACCTATAAAATTATCTGAAAATGTTTATGTGGGGATTAGATTCCAAGGCCAGCTCATAAAGTGAAAATTATGCAAGGTCAAAACCATCTATAGCGAGTTCCTTGGTTGTGATAGAACAATTCTATATCTTGACGGTGGTGGTGGTTACACGACACTCTGTGGGATAAGATTGAATAGAACTATACACACAAAGCCATGCACTCACATGCACACATTCAAATGAGTGCATATAAAAACTGGTGAAATCTGAACACGGCTTATAGTCGAGTTACCAGTAATGTCCCAGTACCAATTTCCTGCGACAACTAAAATGCCACCATTGGGGAAAGCTGGGGGAAGAGTGCAGGGGTCTCTCAGTACTATTTATGCAACTTCCTATGAGCCTATAATTATGTCAAAATAAAAAGTTAAGGAGGGGCGCCTGGGTGGCTCAGTTGTTAAGTGTCTGCCTTCGGCTCAGGTCATGATCCCAGGGTCCTGGGATCGAGCCCCGTGTCTGGCTCCCTGCTCCGCGGGAAGCCAGCTTCTCCCTCTCCCACTCCCCCAGCTTGTGTTCCCTCTCTTGCTGTGTCTCTCTCTGTCAAATAAATAAAATCTTAAAAAAAAAAAAAAGTTAAGGAAACACACATACCCATGGAAAGTTCTTAGCAAATCAAAACACACAGTGTTTCTTCACCTTTGACTCAGATTCTATTACGTTCTTTGGTTGTGTAACTAGATGAAGCATTAGTGGTCTCTGTGTATGAAGAACACCAGTACCAAATGCTCAGCCGTGAGATCCTCACCCAGTGGGAGGAGTGCGGGCTCTGAGCCTGAGGGAATCACATCTCACATACACATGGGACATACACCCTTTTGGTGGAATGGTGGCAGGAACTGCCTATTAGAATAGGGGAATTTACATAAATTAAATACACATACCATGCACTTCCCCCATATATACATTTTTCTGGAGAGACCATAATTTTTCTAGAGAGAGGGAGCTTCTGGTCAGGCCACATTTGGAATATCTGAGTGGAATATTTGGATTAGAATTATAACAGTTTTGAAGGGTTAATGGTAAACTGGTACAAGGGCCACAGGATGTGTCCTAGAAAGAGGGTGTGAGCAGAAGCATGTAATGGAAGAAACTAGGTCTCCTTCACCCAGAAAGGAAAGCTTGGGGCTGGAGCAGATAATCACCACCTGCCCACCTTGGAAGGGCTGTCATGGGCAGAAGTCTAGGAGATGTGTGTGACTACAGGAGGCCGGACAAGGACTGGTGGGTGCCAGCTCAAAATACGTAGCACCTGATAATTATCTGAGGTACCACAGAAGGTCGGTAGGGAGCTGCTAGGAAGTAGGGTGGTACCATGGAAGGTAGGTGAGTAGTTGCCTAGGAAGTAGGGAGCTTCCTGTCCCTAGGAGTGTGCAATTACGAGCTAGTGAGCACTACAGGGCCTTGTAGCTGTTAGATGCCTCTGCTCTATTTGCCCTCTCTAGAACCCCTACATCCCTCCAAAAATCTCCCATCTCCTTCAATGCCAAGCAAAAACTCAAGAAAATTGGACATATGTACTGTATATATAAAAATATATATACACATACATATGCACACACAAAATGCTTCACGGTGGCAGAAGTTATAATTGGTACAATATGGAACAAATACTCGTGCATGAATCTAATTTGCCTTGTCAATTCTAAAGAAAAGGAATTAACTCTAGTGCAAATAATGTCATTAAAATTCAAATGCAAAATACTGAAAGTGATTCCACTTTGTTGTCTAGAAAATGAATCAAGGAATTTAATAGGCTTAATAGAGTTTGTGCCAAAAATTCCTTTCTTGTGACAAATTATTTGGAGTTGAATAGTTCCGACTGGCGTATTTCAGATTAGATGTTTGTATTTTAAGTGTCCTTGAGGGTAAATGGCAGAATTGAAAGGGCTCCAGGCCTGACAGCCAGTGAGAATCAATGAGGCTGAAAGGCCCTGTACCGGCCTCAAAACATTGCCCAAATCTTTTGTCACCTAGCACTTAGGTATGTGGTTTGTGGGCAAACATTTTCCTCTTGTGAGTGTTCATACACTCAGCAAGGAGACAGAGTCCTTGCTACGTCCCAGAGCCAAACCCTCACCCCAGGTGACCCTGTGAGCAAATGGCCTCCAATCCTTCTCCTCCTCACCTTGGTCAGGATCCCGAGCCAACACCACAGCCACAGGGGTCTTAACTGTGGTGTTGTCGAAGACAGCCACAGCACAGTGGCTGGGGAAGAAATGGGGGGCGTTGTCATTCACGTCCTCCACATGGAGGATCACGTCTGCCTGGCATGATTGGCCACCTCCATCCGTCGCCTTGGCAACAAGGCTATACGTATCCTTCTTCTCGCGGTCCAGGGCTGTAAGGGTGGTCAGCTCCCCTGGCCGGAGAAACGACAGCAGGTGAGGTTTCCCTGGGGGACATTACTCCAGCACTTGCATTCTAGGTATCTATGCGAGACAACCACAGGCACACAGGGGTTTGTCACTTTGTGACAAAAAGGGGTTAAAGAAAAGGGGTCAGTCCTACCTACATACAGTTAGGAAAGAAGTTCAGTCCCACACCTGCCTACCTCTCTAATTCTCCAAATGCACTCCACCCCCCCATCATCGATTTAAGATCCTCACCAACAAGCTACAAAGAGGCACAACATTTTTATTTTTTATTTTATTTTATTTTTTATTTTTTTTTAAAGATTTTATTTATTTATTTGAGAGAGAGAGAGAATGAGAGAGAGCACATGATAGGGGTTATGGTCAGAGGGAGAAGCAGACTCCCTGCCGAACAGGGGGCCCGATGCGGGACTCGATCCAGGGACTCCAGGATCATGACCTGAGCCAAAGGCAGTTGCTTAACTAACTGAGCCACCCAGGCGCCCAGGCACAACATTTTTAAAGGGCAAGGAGGCAATTTCTAACAACACATAAACTGTGTTTATCCTTTGGTCCACGATTACACATCTAGGAATATATCCTACAGAATAATCAACCCAAGGATAAAAATGTATATATAAAGATATTCTCTCCAGCATTGTTTATAATAGCAGCATACTGAAAATACCCTGTATGTCTTTCTAAAAGGGACTGATTGAATACATCATGATTTAGCCATACAGTAAAATACTGTGCAACCCAGAAGGAATTATGATAGAGCTTTATGTAATGACTTGTTATAACCTCCAAGGTGTTGCTATGTGAAAAAAAAGTAAGTCACAAAATAATATTCTAGAGTGCTTATCTTTGAGGAGGGGCTGGTTATCATATAGACTTTCCAATTTCTGCATAATACATGCCTGCAGTGTTTGAATTTTTGTAAAATGAGCATGTATTCTTTCCATATTGAGAAAAACCACCCAGTTTTCTTTTTTAAGACCTCACCAATCATCCTGCAGCTGAATAAACAGCAGCAGAGAGAGATTAGGTAACCTACCTGGGGTGACTCAGCATGTCCATGCTGGAATGAGAAAGGACACTGTTGTCTCCTATCTATCCAGACAGCTTCCTGGGACACCATTCTCACCTGCCACCTCCCTGCTCAGGAATCTCCAAGTCATCCTTTGAGCTACTGGTTCCTAGTCAAGTGTCAGCAGCTGGCTCTCTGTGACCTGGGCCTTCTGTGCTGCCTGTCTCCACGCCCTCCCTGTAGCAGCAGGACAGGGATCCCACTGTGGGGCTGCTCTTCCAAAGAAAGCAGACCTCACCCTGTCTTCTCCATCAGACTCTCACAGCCCAACCTCTCCCAGGCATTGGTTGTCTACCCTGCAGGGCTCTCTGCTTCCACCTCTTGCTTTGTCCTCTAATAATAATGACAATGGCAACCACATCTACTGAACTCTTATTATGTACCAGACCTGGGCTAGACTTCTATATACTTCATCTCTTGGGATTTTTACAATAATACATTGAGGTCTGCAACATATGCATGTTGAGATCATGTCCTTGACCATGAAGCTCACCTGCCTAAATCCTCTAGTGGCTCTAAAGGAGGGGTTTGCACCCCCCACCCCCACCCTTTGGCCTCTCTCCTCCCCTCTGTGCACCAGTTTCTGGCCTTCCATCAGGACCTCAGATGTATGCGCTCTTTCCTAGAGCAAAGTCCTTGTATAAATTCTCCTTCTGCCTTGAGCGTCCATCCCTACTACTCCCTTAACTCTGCTCCTAAGCCTCCCTCCCCACTCCTATCGAACCTCCTCTTCCTCCTGCATTTTTTCTTAACTCAACACATTTCAAACCACTGATTCAATGACTGCCTTTCCCATAAGACCCAGATCTTATCTGTCTGTTGATTATGTCCCCACCATCTAGTGCAATGCTTGGCACATGGTACCAATATGTTTGCTGAGTGAATGGATGGATGGGTAGGTGAATTCCTGTTTCTTCTCCAAGGAACCTAACATGGTATTGGGCACTGGTATTCATTAAGTTCTCGGCTTGATCTTGAAGCTCAGGAAACCCACCTGTATGAGGATCCAGCTTAAATTCATCTGCCCCAGGACCATGCAGAGAATATGTGATCTGAGCATTGGTATCAGAATCCAAGTCTGTTGCAGAAACTTTCAGAATGAAGTGTCCTGGAGATATATCTTCACTGACTTTGCCAGTATAGAGAAGCTGGAAACAGAAGACAAAGAAGAGGGAGATTGTGGGAGATACACCTAGATCAAGAGAGAGGCAGAGTGACAGAGAGGGAGACAGAAACAGAGAGATCAGAGAGCAAGATGGAGAGAGGGAAAGAGAAACAGGGCAGGGGTAGAACAAAGAGAAGAAGTTAAACATGCAAGGAAATTGGGATTAAAAACAAGGAGCAGGAGGCGCCTGGGTGGCTCAGTCGTTAAGCGTCTGCCTTTGGCTCAGGTCATGATCCCAGGGTCCTGGGATCGAGCCCCACATCAGGCTCCCTGCTCA